TTTCATACAATTTGGGCTTCAGAAATTTATTTAAAATATTAAAATTGCTTATTACTAAAAGCAAAGAAATTAAATGATGTCTCTGGAGTCTAATAAAATAGAAAAAGGCCATAAATTCAGTTAATAAAAGACTTTATTGGTAGTAAACCAGTAAGATAAATATCAATTTAAAATGTGTAGTAACCCATATAAGAATCGTTAGAAAAAAAGAGACACATCGAACAGAGGAAAATAGAAGGAATTACAACTCTATAAATTAGGCTAGGCTGTTTTTTCCTGAATCTGATCATCACCGTGTTGCCATAAAATTGTCCACACTTGCTTAATGCTTCCTTTGCACCGACAATCATCCAGCCTCCTCGTTCCGGAGACGAATCAAATACCGATAGTTCCGCCCCTTTTAGCGGACGAGAACCGACTGTCAAGCTAAATTAGCAGTGGCTACTGTTGACCATATCATATCATTTACCAAGGCACCAAGACACCAAGACAGCGCCTAGAGTGACTTCAGAGACCCCTTGCCAATTTGATTAGGCCGCGCAAATGTAATTTAATAATTGCGGTTGCCCATGTTGATTAGCATGTGCGGTTTTTGCAATTTACTGCCGGCGCGGCGGCGATCCACAGGATATGAGCTGGCACTATGACAATGACAGGATGCATCAATGTGCGGCGAAAAGTCACCTCTTCTGGCGAAGGCAGGGGAAATGTTTATGGCTCTGTGCTCGCCTGCGGTGGCAGTTTCAAATGCACCGGTAATTGAATTTTAAATTGTCGCTCTCCTTGTTCCCCATGTGCCTCTTGTGGCCAGATTAATTTAAATGAAGTTATTAGCCAGCCCGATAGCCCAGTGACAGGGCGCTCTACTCCAGACCATGTTGCTCCCACTCCTGGCGGCTTAAAGTGCCCTGATATGGGGACATACGAGTATGTATAGTTAGCGGCCTGCAACGGGTTTTCCGTTTTAACTGCTCTTGCGGGCTGCATTTGAAAGTTAAATTACGGTAGCGATATCGGAGCAGACATTCCGTTAATTGGCCGCACAACTTGAGATCGGGCTGATGCCTTTGTTTTTTCGCATGCAGGCCTTCTTAATACTCTTTTTGCAAGTGGAGTCTAGCTATGAAGGAAAGAATATACAGATAATTTAAGCTGCCTTCAATTTGTAATATTTTTTTAATATCTCCGAAATTATTTCTTTCCACTTTTGGAAATGTTGATGAGCTAACACTCGTTTTTTATAGCTTAATAAATTTGCATTTTGATAGAAGTTTCGATGAGATACTGGTGGGTGGTGAGATAAAATATTTAAGTGCTTGGAAAAAAATCGTTGTTCGTTTCTTAGATCATAATTTTTTACGAAACTTTGATTTTTAAATTGGAGTTAGACATTTTCTAGTCGCTGATTTATTTTTTTTATTTATTTTACAACTCAAAACATTTTTTTTACATATTCGGTGAGTGTAATAAAAATTCGCTGCGCCCCAGCAACCTCGCCTTCTTGATGGCTGGGTTTTTGTTTTGTTTTTTGGCTAAGTCCGCTTTACAGTTGCTGCAAAAATTGTTGCAAATTGCAGTTTAAAAAGTTTCCGTGTTGGTTTTTTTCGCGACGTCGTCGGCGGCAGCAACTAATATGAGTCATAAATTTAAAGGCTTAACTCGAGGCTAAGGTAACTGCAACTGCAACCGAAGCTTGGAGCTGTGCCGTTGACAGGGATTTTTGAAATGAAATAAATAAACGGCATTACAGCTAGTTATATGCAGCGATCAGGGTCTTGAGCGGCATAAACCACGACGGCAAAAAAACTAAAAAAAACCACTGCAATGGAGTGTTGGCGTGGAAGCTGAAAGTTGAACTGAATGTGAACTTAACTTGGGCTGGGCTCAAGTCGTCCGGTTACTTTTGAATTTGTTGCACGGTCTCCATTCTGCACGAGACGAAGCCATTTTATTGATACAGATACAGCCGAAATTTGGGTCCGCCAAAAAAAGAAAAAAAATGCTGAAGTCTGGTTGAGTTTTTTCCTTTTTGGCAACTCGCAGCATGACATCATTTTGAGTTACTGCGAATCGGAGTTCGAACCGCTCTTATAACTGCAGCAGCCCTGCAGCCACAAAAAAACACAAAAACTGGTCGCTGTTTTACTTTCGCTTTATTTCTCGAAGTATTTCTTGTGTTTTCGGTTTTCGGTTTTTTCGGCGGAGATGCTTCACTTTTTTTTTGGGTCATCCCGAAGAAGTGCGGTCGTATATGGGAATGAAAACGAAACCGAGTTCTGGTGAAAGTGGGTTGCCCATCACGGAATGGAAATCGAAAACGCATAACAAGTGCACGGCTCCCAAGTCCGTGGACCACATGGTCGGGCCTTGGCGGATCGATTGTGTCATGGAGCGTGGGTCGATCATCGCCCACGGAGGCATCAAAAAAGCCTCCAAACGGCCGAAACTAATGATGTTAGACGGGCCAAGACGGCACAGGTTGGCACTGACGCACCGATTGCTCCGCTTTGGTCTCGGTTTCGTCTTCATCTCTGTTCATCGATTGGGTTTATTTGTATGGGGTGCCCACACACTATGGCTCTTTTTGGCTTTTTGCGGCAGTCAGAAGAGATCAATGCAAAAAGATTCGCGAGCGAGAAATTAATTAGAATCTTGTGGCTTTGAAACGCGGCTCCGCCGTTGTTGGCTGGGAAAAGACCTTGAGCGGCGGTTCAACAGACTGTGTGGGGTGCTGCAAACTAGTCGAGTCAACTGAGTCACAGTCTTCAAGCGCCAAAAGAGCATCCAAATCGCGACCAGTCTTTGGAATTTGCCCATAATAAATCTGTCTGCAGGCTGATGGCACTGAAGACGCACAACATGACTTACGAATTACTCGAAAATCTATGGAATCGATCTCCCGATTTCGCCAGTTTCTTTAACGTGCAACGAAAGTAGCTAAAATCTCTTTCCCACGAGTTTCTCTAGTCATTAGGCAATAATAAAACTTGGGCTTTATTTGCATTCAATAAAGGCTTCATTTGCCAACGTCAAGTTTGTGTCTACAGTCTTTTGTCTTCGCAATGCAATTTATCGTTGACAGCTTTTATAAAAATAATAGTGTTGATCTCATTATCGACCGAAACAAGTTTGGTTTCCAAGTCTTTTGATTCGATTGTTAAAAATTTGCATAAATCATGGAAAATTGTAGTTTGGTCTTTAAAAATGTACTTAAATTTTAAGTTCTTTGACTTCACTTATTAATTTTTATACATTAAAATTATCAAATTCGTGCCCTAAGTCGTTTGATTTTGCTCGTGAATTTTGCAAATACCAAAAAATCTGTAGTTCGTGCTTTAAGTCATTCGATTTGGCTCATGGATTTAGCAACAGTAAACATAATTGAAATTTCTCTTGTGCAAAATATGAAAGATATGTCGCTTTATATCTTACACCATTTATCTTTGCAGAAGAATCGCAAAGCGAAGCATTCACTTTTTTGTTGGGTCCCTTGACTCATTTAATTGCGGCAATTTCTTTCGCCCACGCAGACTGACTCAAGCGCTTTGGCTCATAATTTATAGGCATTATTATTGTAATTTCTCCCGGCAGACAAACGCAGCAGCTCGCACGCAAAACAATAATACATAAAGTGAAAGTTTTGCACCTTTTGCCGCGAAGACAACAAACAAGCGGCAAACGCATCAGTATAAACAGCTAAACAACTTGAAAATAGTCAGTCAGTCGGTCGGTCGGTGAGATGGGATAAGATGAGCCACGAACTGTTGGGGAAAAACAGCCCGAACCAAAGTACCACAACCCACGACGAGGCAAAGACAATGGCTTACAAATGACTGGCAGCTAGTTCAAGTCGAAACTGGCTGACAAATGAGAAGGCGCCGGTAGCATCACTTGTGTTTTGCATCTGACCAAAAAAAAACACAGACAGAGATCTCAAAGCTTCACCAATAAACCCAAATATACACAAATTTCGCCTGTCTAATCCCCCAAAACTACACAATCACAAGAAATGTGTTTTTTTGACCTCAGCTTTGTCTTGAACTTTGTCTTGAACCACTTGCGATTGCTTGACAAACTCTTTCTTTGCGCCCACAAAAAGTGTGTCAAGCGAGTATTTGAAGTAATTATTTGTCATATTTTCTATTTGCGTTTCGGTTTCGTTATTTCCAAAATGAGATGCAGAGAAAATAAACAGCATTAGCGAAGAGGCCCTGACCAAAGAGTCAGTGACAAGGCGTCTTCGGACCCGTTTCCATCTGCGTATTCATCTTCTCCGTCTTCCAACTCATCAAATCTTACAATGACTTTGGCTTGAGATTTTTGCACAAACGAAAGTGAACGTTTCTTTATGCTTTGTCTGTTTGTTATTATTATTTTTTGCCACATTTACAGTTGGTGTTTTGAGCTTATGTCTGCACTTGGGTGGAAAAAACGGAAATTTGTCATGTAAATTTTGTATGCCAACGGTTTTTATGCTCAGTGATTTTTAGAGCTTTAAAAAATGTCATGGGAATTAAGTTTCTGTTTAATGAGGTAAACGGAAAAATGTTTTATTAAAAGGAATATTTGATTCACAAAAATTAAATATAAAGAAATTTAAATACTTGCTATTGGTAATCACAATAATAATCTTTTTTTTTTTTGTTCACTCTTAATAATGAAAGGAAATAATTTTGCTAAAATCTGGACTCAAATAATCACAAGTTATAAACTCGTCTTACTAAAAGCAAGTCAATTAAAAAAAGATCCTTGTAATTTTCTGGATATTAATTTGATTAATGCTATTAAATGTATTTTTTTAGCTGCTTATAATTGTTTTAAATATCACTTCAGTAGAATTTTTTTTTGGAATTTGTCTTTTGTAAAATGATTTAGCTTTTGGCTGTGATTAGCACTCAGCTTGTTCCGTCTCAAACTCCATTAAATTTGTATTATAATAAAAATGTTTTATATGCTACTTAAAATTTGCACTTTGTAGAATTGGAAAAAAATGTGCTCACCATTTTATTCATCAACTTTCGGCCAAAATCAGTTCATACTGCCAACAGCTGCCAACGAAGAGCGACGCCAGCAAAAAAGCCTTGTTTCTTACTTGGCTGCTGCCAAAGCAGCTGCCAAAAGCGATTTGCCGTCAAAAGCGCAGAAAGACACACACACACACACGCTGCGCGACGACTTTGGCAAACTCACAGACACTGGAATATTTTGTACTTATTGTTATACTTAACAATATTTAACGCTTTTCTTTTAAACACTTTTTGATTGGTTTGCGCGCGTTTGGTTTTTCGGAATTTTCACAGGGTAAAATTGATCAAAAAAGCCCGGCAACTTTCACTGCAATTAGACGATGGATGTTAGATTCCCCGCCTAGGCAAATAAGGCAATGATCTCCGCTAAGATTATTCAGTGGTGGAGCTCAAACACTTAAGACACTGTCCACAAAAAGAGAAGCCCACTTGGCAGAGAACCGCACCGCACGCGCGCTGAAAACGAACTGAATGTGCGGAGCTGGAGCCGCCGATCGCGAGCCCCAGTGGTTACCTGTATAGCCCAGAGTTACCTGGCTAAAAGCGAGTGAGTGTGTGTGTGTGTGTGCGGGCCCGGATTTTTGTGTGAGTGCGGCTGGCTGTTAGGCAACTTTGCTGCCCACACTTTGCTCGGCAAAAGTCGCCGCTCTGCTGGTCCATTTTTGGCTTGGACCGCTCAGCAATAATTTTTTTTCTCTCTTTTATTTTGTTATAACCAAGACGCCTTTGCAGAAATAAGAGGAAAAAAATTGGTAGAGGTATAACCTATACGATTTGTGGCTTCCAAGTTGCCAGTTGTGCTTTGACTTTTGATTGACGTAATTTCTGCGCTTGATATTCACTTGAATTTCTTGTATTTCCACATTTAACTGTTTTGGTGTCGGGCGCACATTACACGCCCACCACACCCGCACACACACACACACACTCACTCAGTAGGCGTTTCTTTTCATTAAACATTAAAATTCATTTTATACATTCTGTTTCATCAAGAGTTTTGTGAACTTTCGCTCGGCACGGAACTAAATGGAATATGTGGGAGTGCTGAACCGAACCTATATAGGCTATATAGTGCTTGACTCACTCGATCTGCTTAGCTGGCTTGCTTATGCTAATTAACCAGCTTAAACTTTGGTATTTAAGCGTTTCCCTCAAACGAAAGACTTAGGCAACGAACTCGGCCCCAATTACTAAAAAACTTTTGTGGTTCACAGTCGACCTTGCCGTTGAACTGCTTTATACCTCCGAAATAAGGTCCTTATCGACCAGGAATCTTTATTGCAGTATTGCAATGAAGTAATTTCCGCATGTAATGGGGAGAACTAAAAAAGTTCTTCCCCTTCTTACGGTAACATTTTTTTGTGGTTTCCTTTTTTCCAACATTACCTTCGGGAAACGCCTTGCTTGCACATTAATTTCTACGCCCCGCAATTATTTCATCCAGCAAATGGAGTATGAGAAACATAAACGCAAAACGTGTGCCACATACTAAGATGGGCTAAAAGGAAAACAAAAAACCAGAGACTACAAAAAAGCAGCAAAAATTAACAAGCATAATTAAAAATGCACACGTTGGGAATGGCAACAGCAAAAATCTTAACGAAAAAAGGAAGATACCTGGGGACCAAAATGATTTAAACTTTTTACCTCAGACTGCAAGTTGCGGGCGTGCTAATTTCGGAAAATACACGAGTCGAAACTTTAAGTGCACTATAAAATTTATGGTCAAAATCAATTTTTGGGGGGAAAACAAATAACTGTCAGACTCTAAGAACATAAAAAAAGCTTCTCAGGGAAGGTCAAAGGAGGGTAAAACATAAAGCGGTACGTAAGTTGCGGTTAGTTTATTAATTAAAAGTTTAACTCGAAGAATGAAATAAACAATAAGTGTGTTGTCTAAGCAGTTTATGATCTTAAGAGTGTTTTTTAACCTTTTTTCTTTACTAATAGCATTTTTCCATTTGTATTACTGCAAAAATCAAATTTTTTTGTAAATAGCTATAAAAAATTCCATAAGCTGTAAGACTAACAGAAAAACTGGTAACTAGCTTTGAGTGCTTAGTATGTTAATTATAAACATTTTTAAGATGAGTGAAGACCTTTGTCTGAACAGACAGTTTATGATCGGCACTTGAACGAAAGGAAATTCCGAATGCAGCTCTAAAGTACATATTTTTCTATCTTCCCAGCCTAAACAAACTTGCCGCTGAAGTTGGGTTACCCGTTCATGCGATGGGCATTCCTGAATTGCTAAAACAAGCAATACCGCAACAGCTGCAACATGTGTGTTGTTGCAGCAACAAGTGCAGCGGCGGCGGCTAATTTCATGCAGCAAAAGCAAAAGCAGCAGTGCAACAGCAACAACAGCGAAAAACCCACACGCGTCGTCTACACTTGGCATATTTAACACATTTAATGGAAAACCAACAGAACATCAGTATTTATGATGCAGCAAGGCGAACTAGGGACCGCTCTCGAGGCGCCAGGCCCTCCTGTCCGCCAGTTGTGGCTTTATTAAGTTGCTGTTGTTGTCGGTTTTTATTAATAAGTCATATTTTTATATGGTTCAGCCGTGGAGCAACAGAAGCAGCAGCAGCTTGATAATTTATGTTGTTTGCCGAAGCGCCGAAGCAGGATGACAAAAGTGGCTGAAACAGCAGCTGGACCAAGGGCAACCAGAGCCAGGGGCGCCCACATTCAGACGTGGGTTTATTCATAAGTCACTCACTCGTTCATTCACTCACTCACTCAGTCCACTTTTCATTCATTCATAAACTTTAAGAAAAAAGCTCGAAAAGCGAAGCTCATTTCGTGATTAATTAAATGCAACTTGGCTGGTTGTTGTGATTATTATTATGGCTGCTGTTGAAAAAAACTGTGCCACTGCAAGAGACATGCAACAGGTTGCTGTGATGTAAGTGTTTATGGCTATTTGCAGTTTTTTATTGCTCTACCAACCACTAAATCTGTTTTTCTTTGTATTTACTTTTTCGGTTAGCAGTGGGCGAAAGTTTGTTGCCTAAGTCTTTCATTGTGATGCACTTTGCACCTGACCAAAGCTGGGCCAGAAAACAACTCAGACGTGGCCGATTGGCCGCGTGATATCCCCCTAAAACTGTGTCAAAGCACTAAATACACGAAATTATTTACTCATTTGTGGGAGAAAAAAATTCGCAAAAATATAATTGCGAAAAAAAGCGATGCAAAAAAGTTCGCAAATGCTTTAAATAGTTCAAGCATTGCGTAATCGCTTAAACATCCAATTAGAATTTCAGTTTTCGTGATGAAAAAGTTGCTTGGCGTCAACGAATTAAGCAAATAGCGATAGGAATTACTGCTAATTTTAATGCGAGTTGTATTTATCTTTTTATTTCGCTTTTTGCCGGCACAGTTTTCACTTTGCGCCCACACACAGCTGTTCAAATGCTGGAGAATTGCACAAATATGACTGGATTGGTGGATCTGGAGGGGATTGCGGGTGGATCGCGCACCTTTGCCACAAACGGAACGCAACCGATCGGCGGATAAAACTATTGAGCGTAGTGCACACAACGCGGTGCGCCGGCAGACTGAATGCGAGAGACTCTCTTGACTGCATTTGCTGGCCAAGTTAGTTTCAGTTGGCAAACAGCTGACGGTCTCACGCTCTTTCTCTAACGAGCAAAACTAGTTTCGTTTAATTGTGGACTGGCCTGGCATTTGAAAATCTGTTTGACCGTATAACAGTTGGCAAGCAAAACTGTGCTATCCGCTGAGAAACTGGGAGAAAAATGAGAGAATCTGAGAGAGTCCGAGAGAAATACTGGGAAAAAGAGAGAAACGCAGCGGGCTGGCAGAGACTAATTTGTTATTGTTATTGTGTTTGTCAAGTCAACTGATAAATTGACTTGATATTGAAAATAAATTAATTATATCTTCGAAAAATGGAACAACTTGGAGTTGGCTTTCGTGGGATTAGGCAAGCATTGAATCTGGCAGAAAATTCAATCGGATCTGTACTTGTAAAAAATACAAAAAAATATTTGAATAAAATAATAATAAATGAGGTCACAGCATGCGTCATGGGAGATTTTTCATAACAAAATATAGATATAAATATTTTTTACTCATATAGATAATCTAACTTGTTATACCCTTGCAGAGGGTATTATAATTTTGGTCAAAAGTGTGCAACGCAGTGAAGGAGACATCACCGACCCTATAAAGTATATATATTCTTGATCAGGATCACCTCCTGAGTTGATATAGCCATGTCCGTCTGTCCGTCTGTCCGTCTGTCTGTTTCTACGCAAACTAGTCTCTCAGTTTTAAAGATATCGAATTGAAACTTTGCACACACCCTTCTTTCCTTTGCACGCAGTATATAAGTCGGAACGGCAGGGATCGGCCGACTATATCCTATAGCTGCCATATAACTGATTGATCGGAAATGCCATTACTTTGGTGTTTGTAAAGTTAGGAAGTTGGGATTTTCTATGGGTCTTATATTTGGCCAATCAATCTGACCTACCAAATTTCATAAGGATCGGCCGACTATATCCTATAGCCGCCATATAACTGATTAATCGGAAATGCCATAACTTTGGTGTTTGTTAAGTTAGGAAGTTGGGATTTTCTATGGGTTTTATTTTTGGCCAATCAATCCGACCTACCAAATTTCATAAGGATCGGCCGACTATATCCTATAGCTGCCATATAACTGAACGTTGGAAATGCCATAACTTTGGTGTTTTTAAAGTTAGGAAGTTGGGATTTTTTATGAGTATTAAGAATGCATCATATGAATAATTTTGGAGAATATAATTAACAGAGTATTCTGCAAGGGTATATCAACTTCGGCTCCGCCCGAAGTTAGCTTTCCTTTCTTGTTTTTTATATTCTTGCCGTAATGACTCACACATTAATTCTGAGCGCAAGACAAATTGTTGCAAATTGAAATCAAGTTGTCTAATTGATTTCAACAGTATTTCAATGTGAAGTATGGCTATTTTCGAGACGTTAGACATTTTTTTAATGATCTTTATCCCATTTTGAAGAAGATCATTCATTCTCAACTGGCATTATTAATCGAGTCAAGTTCTTATCATATGTGATATAAAAGAAGTAGGCCAGTTGGAGTAATGTGCCAGTGGGAGATAATTAATGATGGCATTTGATCCAGCGGACAAAAAGAACAGGTTTAATCACATATTTCCATCCTTTCTTTTTTGGTTTTAAAGTTTCCAACTGTTCAGGCATCTAATGAATATTAATTTCTTAATAAAAAGTTTTAGGGGTTGAAAATACATATAAATAATCAAATTAGATGTGAATTTTAATCAGTAATGTCCATTATATTTATTTTTGTTAGCCATAGCCCTTTAAAGTTTTAAGTTAGGTATTCCCCAAGCTTTTTTATTTAAACGGGTTTCGCCCGTCTTTAACGTACAATAATTTAAAAAGTTTATAGCGTTTTTGACTTCAAAATGTGCAGCGAATTCGCTTCGCTCAATTTAAGTGACTACTCACGTTTTATATTTTTGCCAAGATCGTTTTGAAGATACACAAGTCTTTGGTTGTTTTAATTTTTGTTGTTGTAAAGTTAACTTTTGGCAAGTCTTAAGTCACGTTGCGCCCATAGACGCCACGTACGCAGTAACAGTCGCAGAGTCAGTCACAGTCACAGTTTAATGTTTATGTTATTTGCCGGCTCGTTTATTTATGTTTTTGCAGTGTTAAAGTAATTGTTGCAGTCCGCCTTGTAAGCCGCTTTACTCCATTTGTGGCAGCGAACAAATATTTTGGGGGGCGGCAGGGAGACTTGCATAAGTACAAGTAATTGCCCAGGCCAAGGCGCCCATACATATGCGTCTATTTCGCACCCCCCCCTCTCGGGAAATATGATTTATGCTGCCCCTGCGTTGCATAAGTTAAGAGCGATGACGTTATGCGAAGCGCGTGCTGAGGCGGCTGACCCAAAAAGCAAAAAGCCACTACGGTAGTTTGACGCCAACGCTGTCGAGGCGACATTTGGCTTAAATAGAATGCAAAATACAAAATGCAAAAGCTGAAACTGCAACCTAACGCTTAGACTTCCAGGGAGTAGGATGATGTATACTCTGCAGGAATATTTATATATATTTTCAGAAATCAAAGTAAAATCTTATATAAATTATTTTATATTGCTTCAAAAATGTTTTATCATTTAGAGTTGATATTCATTTACAAATGATCTTCTTCAAATCCATAACAATGGCTTAACCTAAAACAAATTAATACAAATATATATTATTTAATAACTCACTAACTTATTTAACCAGAGAAAATACTTATCATCTTTAAAATAAATACATTATTCTTTACCTTTTCTACCTTGATCATAATACTTTTTTATTTCGGTTATTAATTTAGAAAGGATATACCTACAAGAATTAATTAAAAATCTAAGGCTAAAAAATACCACTAATAAAACATGTTACTGTATAAAAACCTATGCTAAGTCATCATTTATTTGTCGCCCACCTTTTTTTTACTACCATTTTCAGTGTCTCACAGACTGATGAAGTATATGCCCTAGTTGATGGCACCACCTGTAGTTAGAGTGGACCAACTGCCGAGAGCAACGAGCGTAAACAAGTTGGCCTGACAGCTCAGTTAGACATTAGATGGCTAAGTGATGAGCCTGTTGAGCGCGTTGCTTGCCAGCTTTTGCAAATTGGCTGGGTTCGGTTGGGGCCGAAAAGATCGCCGCCAGGCGGAGGAGTACCGTTGGTTGCCACACCAACCTACATAGCACATGGCTAAGCCGAAGTCGAGGAATTTGCAATTGCAACTGCAGCCGCTGATGCTGCCGTCTATGAGATAATTGAAAAATGCGTAAGTTAGACCCTGATGTCAACCGGACGAAAGGGGTGAAAGAGGTTCAAGCAGCGGTGCCAGAACTCTTTGCATTTTCCACAGATTTTCCCTGCACGCAGGTTAACAACAAAGTAGAATGCTAGAGCAGAAGGAAAAACCTGTTTCCTGTGTTGTCTATTTTCCTGTCGTTGCATTTGTTGTTTGCGCTCATTTTCGTTACGTACGGAAAGCAAAAGGCATGGCAAGAAGATACAAGACAAGAAGTATCTACGAGCTGGCTGTTGGTGTTGTGTTTTGGCCATTAGAGGGGAAAACACTCGCACACACACACACACACGCACGGAATGCTAGCGGTTATGGAAATTCCTTTGAAGCACGCACACACACACACACAAACTCGTAGGAGAGAGGGAATGGGAATAGTGGAGTCCAACAAAGGATGTAAGGAAGCAGCCAGGCCAACAAGAGGGCCCAAACAATGAGGGTCTCCCGAAGTGTGGTTGCTTTTGGCACTTTTGGCCGCATGGCCATGGAAAATTGGCCGTTTCGCTGGCATAGATACAACACTTGCTCCTCGGGGTATCATCAACCTCATCATCGGCATTGGGTATCGGTATCGGTATTGGGATCGTGTGTGTCTGGTAGCAACTTGAGGCATGACACTGCCGGTTTTCCACAGCTCTCTTACATTCACCGACTGCTTGCCAATAGAAATTCGGTTAGGATTTGTTTGTTCCCAGTTGAAAAATGCCTAATCAGCATTTTATTGTTACGAGTATTCTTCGCCCCGCTACCGAGCGACTCTAACAAGCGAAGAGTGAGAAAAAGTAGCGTGACTTTCGATGCAAGTGCCTGCATAATTAGAATATAAATGCCCACTTTGTTGTGGGATCTTCGGGAACGCACGGCGGTGATTATGTGGATCAAGTAATTGCCGGTTTAGTCCAGTGCATTTCCTTATGGCCAAAACAAACCAAAGACCAAGCCACCGAACCAGCAAAATCAGAGCTTTATCTGGAAAAGTGGCTGTGAGGTAATATTTAAAGGAAAATATATTTTAAAATATTTATATTTTAGGTATGCCACATCTGAAATTGTTTCCTTAGAATAAGACCATTTAAGCCACAATTTTGCATAGAAGAGGAATAATCGTCCATTCCGAGGCAATGCATTCAAATTGCTCAAGTGACTCGGCGCAATACCGCTCTTAGAACAGTTAGAGAACAAAAGACTTAGGCAACATACTCGAATAAATTTACAGACGACTGCACAATTATCAGAGGGAGACAGCAACAACGTGCTGCATTCTTGGCTCCTTCCCAATTAATCAAAAGGCTAAAGAAACGGTAAACGAATTATGTAACTAATGCACTAACTACGCCCTGCCCCCCCTCGACGCCCCCGGTGCCACTCCCCCTGCTGGTAAGCATCTCCAGCGAAGCGTTTGACGCCACTAAACTGTACAACATTTCAAACACTTGCCTCGAGGGCAGCCCGGCAGTTGGTTTTGGGAAAAACTAAAACTGGTAACGAGAGACTGGTAACTGATATGCATGCGCAGAGCGTGTAAATAATTAGAACTGAGAACTGCCAGCCAAGCAGAGCTGGCCAAAAGACAAAGGCCGCAGCATGATTAAGAAGTTTTTAAGAGCCACATTGAAATTAGGGTGGGTGTGGTGGTTATAGACTAGGAATAAAGCAAGACATTTATCTTGGGAATATGTTTACATTTTAGGTTGATTTT